ATTTATTTCTTTTCTATATTTTTTTTATGCTTTTCAAAATGTTTTTATCTGGACATGCTTCCACTTTCATTATCATGATTTTTTGATAAGCAGGGGTTTTGAAAGAATTTAGTTGTCTTATAAGATATGTTCATGCAACCTGCTCACAGTATGATGTAGCTGCCTATTTTTCATGGCTGTAAGCCACTGAATGGAAACTAAATAATATTTTAGTAACTCTTTTTACTCTGTGTAGAATGGGTGGAACTCGTTTGGGAATGTGACCCAGTGGGATCTACCTGTTGTCACATATTATACTGCCATGTCAAACAACATAGTAGGTGGCATGACAGCGGGATGTAGCAGTACATTCATGGAGGCAGATCTACTAGGTAAGGTCTACTCCACAGATCCTCCACAGAACAAATGGACACTATAGTGAGTGATGTATGCTTCTGTTTGCATACATGAAGTAGTTGGGTGTATTGTTAATGCTTCCGTTTCATTTATAATTTTCTTAACTTGTCCCATCGCATAACTACTTTGTGTTTTCTATTTGATAGGTTGTTACTGTTAATTCACGTGATTATGTTCTACACAAATGTAACAAGGATAAAGGATTTCTTCATCATGGGATTTGCTGGACTTTCACAGGAGTATTATGGACCTGTGTCAGCCCTGCTCTTTCTTCTCTTCTTGGCTATAGCTGTAGGAAATATTTTCATTTTAGTGTTTGTGAAATGTGAAAGGTCTCTCCACAAACCCTCATATCTGATCTTTTGCCACTTGGCACTAACTGACTTAGCATTTGGGACTATTACTCTGCCAAAGATTATATCAAAATACTGGTTTGATGATGGCATTATTTCATTTAATGGATGCTTTGCACAAATGTATTTTGTCCATTTTTTAGGGGCGACTCATTCTTTTATCCTGATGGTGATGGCCCTCGATCGCTTCATTGCAATTTGTGCTCCTCTGCGTTACACTGTGCTTTTCACAAACACCACTGTTTCTGTGCTTTGTGGAATATCATGGTTTATACCAGCATCATGGATGGTGGGTATAGTTTTTGATGCTCTTAGGTTGCCTTTCTGTAATTCAAACATAATTTTGCAGTGCTATTGTGACCATTTAACAGTAACAGTGCTTGGATGTGAGAATGTACGAGAAATTCAGGTCGTTGCATTAGGTCTTGCCATGTTTAGTTTGTTGTTGCCTCTGGGTTTTATCATCTTCTCGTATTTTGTCATCATTGTTGCTGTAATGAAAATGTCCAACTCTGATGGCCGCCACATCAGGGCTCTGTCTACATGCACACCACAGCTTCTCATCACATGTCTATTTTACATGCCGAGATGCTTTGTTTATCTTGCAAATAATGTGGGATTCATTTTGAGTGATCCATTTCGCACTGTTGTTATAATGCTGTACAGTCTTTTACCTTCTGCTATCAACCCAATAATATATTGTTTCAAAACCAAGGATATCAAAGAAAACTTGAAGAAGAGATTTTTAACCAGGAAAATTAATAACAGCACAAATAAAGGATAGAATACAACACGGTCAATGTGCAACTGGTAATATAGGGGAGCAATGTGCAATATATGACATCAAGTAGTATGCTGTTTACTTTTGCTGGATCCAATGTGTTACATCTATGTTTACTTTTAAGTCATTGCATGGTCAGACTCCTCGGTACAATTTCTATGAGCCACAACACAGCCTGTGATCCTCAAGCAGGGGTCCCCTCAAGCCATGTTATAAGTTCACTGAGCGGTTTCTTTGTTGGGTCTCTCAGCTCTAGATCTACTTTCCTGGTCAGGGAGCCAAATCAGAATGAACTTACATCCCATCATAAAGCCTCTGTTTTTAGCAGATTATTGTAACAATGTTGTGCTTTTCAGGCATGAAAATGGGTCAGGGGTGAAAAGGTGAGAAGAATACGAGACCCGGCACCTGCTAGGGGGTCCCGGGGTTATGCTCTTCGATTGTTTTTTTTTTTGGTGGAAAAATGAGCTTCCAAATGCTCATATCTGATTTCTTTTAGATTTACTCTAGTGGTGGTCACATGCAGAATTATAAGACTGCACAAAAACAAAAGTATGAATGTATAACTAAGTACAAATAAAGTATCTTTACATGTTCACGTATGTTGTATAAGAGACGAGACCAGGGGCAGACTGGGACACAAATTCAGCCCGGGACATTCAGACGCACCGCCCCACACACCGTCCCACACGTTTCTACCTATAATCCTCTATATGCCTGTACACACTACACAAATGCTGTCCTGAGAATCAACTGCATAATCATAATCAGCAGTTATTCTTTATTTCCAGACTATAAAATAAATGCAATAATATATTGGCCACAAATGGCGATGTGCTTATTATTTAACTTAAAATAAGAGCATATGATTCTATCCTAATGCATCTACATGGATTCTGTGTATGTGACAATAAAGCCTGAACTGAATCTAATTTTATGGACAGTATAATTGTCTACCCTTTTAGTCAACTTATTACTACAACAAAAAAAAATCCCACTTAATACTACTAAAAAGGTTTTCCTCTGGCTAAAATGTAGGTTATGCCTTCACATTGCACCTGTCATTTCTGGTCTCATCCTCCTCCTCATCACGACTGGGGTAAGTCTGTCCCTCAGCTTCATTGTCCTTGGGACTGGGAGCACCTAAAGTTAATTACATGCATCCACAGGAAAAAAGCAAGCACATATTTTCTTTTAGTACAGGTTTAAATTATAATAACCTTATGCAATACCTAGTAGGCTAGTTGGCCTCTTGAAACGGACACTTAGAAGAAATACGCAATTTGCCAAAGCCAACGTTAGCTAACGTTAATGCACCTGCTATAATGGCATTGTCATCTCCAGCTCCATCTCCGTCGTTAGCAACACAATTCAGCCCGTCAACCAAAGCCGTGGCCAAACAGGTCGGTCATTTTGGAGCACTTTGCTGCCTCTTCTTAAGTTTTTTTTTTATTCATGTTTTTTCCACGCCACTTTTTTTTTCAAGAAAAACGAGAGCCTCTTTCGTATTGGAGGAGGCCGTTCTTATCTCCTCCTTCAAGCATAAGTACACAAGATTGACACCTACGTCCCCATCTTTTTTCTGTGGCTTCGCTCCACAGACCAGACTCCAATTTTTCTCATTGGCTCTACACGATTCACGTAGGTCACCTATTTTGTATTCAAAACGGCGAATTTCGCCGAAAGGCGAGCGATTTTCATGCCTGACTTTGTTCCTACTGCTTTTTATTTGTTTGATTAATTTTTTTTGTCTATATTTTCTTGTTAGAAATTCTTTTGTGTCATTGTAAAGAAAGTAGTAAAGTTGTTTTTAAGTGAACAAATCAAATGTATTACAGTGTTCTTTGTTTTTGTAAAATAAACTAATTTTTTATTAGCACCTTGTGTCCATAGTAATTACATTTCAACCTTCAAGATATTGCTGAAGAATTTTTCTGGCCAAACCAAACCAAATTAATCTCTCTGTCTTAACTCCTGCGCACTACAAAACACATCTGTTAAATATACATCAAGAGTGAGCTTCAGATAATGAAAATGATTTATTAGAGTGAAATCTGAGCAGATCAGGACTCAATATAATGAGTTCAACACTGAGAACAGGGGAGACACAGCTTCAGGCCAAGAGTTCCTCTTCTGCGCACTGGTCAATTTTGCTAATCTTTATAAACAGATATCTGCATATGAATTAAAATACATAGGCCTAAATAAAAAAAAATAACAAAAAGAATAGAAAGGTAACTCGTCATTAGACAACAATTGATAGGTTCTAAGATTGCATTTTGGCCAATTCCTTTTTTGCTCTCCACGTGGACTGTTTACCCACTGCTGAAACATGATTGTTAACCCAGACTACAAACCGACTACAACCAGAAAGCAGTCTTGTACTATTGCCCACAGATTTGGAATACGTTTGCAGATATCTGTTTATAGAAACAAGGCGAGGCACAAAATTTTGATCTTAAATGAGTTCAAGTGACGGTCTATGTGTCCACAGCTTCAGCATGCAGGTCCTTCCTTGAACTTAATTTAGTGACACTAGACTGCTATTTCCAGATGGCACAGATTAAGAATGCAGTGCATGTATTGTATGACCCCCTCCCTCCTGACCTTGTATGTGGAATTTGATAGCTGTGTAAAGAAGTATGCATATTTTACTGTCAAAATACATTTGTATTTTTTTAGGTCTCAAAGTATTTTTTGAACCAATTCTGTATTTTGACTGGTCCTGATAATCTTTAAATTCAAATTATGTAACTTATTACTATTAGATTAGATTGGGTAAAATATGAGGCATTTCATCTTGATCAATTTAAACTACCATGCTGCTACAGCTCACTAAACACCGGCTGGCAGGTTGTAGTACCTTTAAAAAAAGTGTTACAACTAACCCCAGTAACAACTGAAGACATTTTCTCTATCTATCTTACTCCTTTCAGCATGCAGGAGAGTTGGTGAAAAAACCTAATAGGGGCATGCTACTGATGAGATGAGGCAGGGAAAGACAGTTTGGTCTGTCCCCAAACAATACTCTGCCATATGATATTGAGCAGACTATACAAAAAAACAAAAACAAACAACAACAAAAAACTCAGAGAAGGAGAATCAGCCAACCTGTTTTTATTCCACCTCGCCATTTACTGCCACTTAGCAAGTGGTCCTGCTACTAGGTAGCCTCCCGTGTCTGTTTTGGATGTTCACAGATGTTTTCTCAATTATAACATGCACTGTGTCTTTTCAAAACACATTTCCATTTTCACAGGAAATGTACAGTTTCTGCTCGTTACATGCATACAGTCTTTTTTTAAAAAATAAATAAGTAAATAAACGTACTACTTAGGTAAAGCACTTCATCTTTTTTCATTCATATGACATAATTCTTGCATAAAATGCAGCACAAAGTGATGAACATTAAAAACAATCAAAACATTTGTGACAAAAAAAATGATAAACATGTATGATATAAAATAAAAACAAAAGATGAAATAAAATTCAGTCAAAACTGCAGGCAAGGACAAGATAAAACAACCATCAATCAAAAACATATTTCAGGAGAAAGCAATGGTAAATAGATTTAGAATGGTTTCCAGTGACATCAAAAATAGCTGGTGCCCAGTGCACATCATACTGCTGTGAAGAGTGTCTCAGTGTCGGTGTCTGACGCTGACACCCACTGACAAAACTTCAGTATTTGTTGCCTGCTGCCTCAGAAATAGCTGCCACCTGGTGTGTATCAGACCACAGCATAAGGCACCTCTGTGCATTGATATCTGACACCAAAATCACTGACAAAGGGCTGGTAGTTGACGAGTTGGGAGTGAGAACAGGATGAAACAATACAGTAGCCCTGTGTGGGCTATCACAGCAGTCACAAAGCCAAAGAGCAGCAAGAGGATGTCTTTACTGATTACTGCTCAGTCCAGTGACCAGGCAAGCACACATGTATATTGGACTCTCTTTATGTGAGGTATTGAGCATCTGACAGGCTCAGGTTAGCAAGTTAGACCTTCATAGAAATTGGTTATCAGTGTATGTATCAGATTTTATGTGTATATTTTGAAATTGTGTAATTTTTATACTTCACTCATATTGTTACTTTTTACTCCAGGTTGTGTTACAACTTAACCCAGTAGTGGGGCAGGTTGTAACAATGGAACTCCTTACATTTCACATCAGTAAATTAACTTTTTAATACAGTTGGAGAAGTTGGAAACATTGTTATTTGTAATAGAGAAATAAGACTACTTTACGCCAAAATTTGAGAGCCATAACACAAGAATTCAGCAAGTTATAGGTGCTGAGACAAAAACTGTTACAGTCACACCTGGTCTCCCCCAGTATCTCTGATATCTTTGCTTTTTTTAGCCTTTAGCTTTGCTGCTCCACTGTCCCACCATGTTTTATCCATGTCACTTGACTTGTGGTCATCATCATGATACAGGCACAGTCAGCAAACCCATCACAATATTTTTCTTATTGCAAATACATTTATTGGTTAGTATTTCAGCATACAGAATTACTTAATTTATTTATTTGATTTGATAAAAAAAAACAAACAGGTTTTGCAACCAGTGGAGACTCAAGGACCTTTACCATCATTTCCCTTGGATTTTGAAGCATCAAAGAGAACAAAGATCCAAGGCAGACCTGTGCAACAGAGCGTTTCATTTTAACATTCAGCATTTCAGACCACTGCATTCAGTACGTTGACAGAGTGATCTCTCAGGGACCTATTAGCTTGTCTTCTCTCTTTACAACATGTACAACATAATGTTTTGCTATAGCAAATTTCATTGACAACCAGCATTGTATCGAATAGGCTACATCACCAAAGACATCATTTTACTGCCTGTTTAGAACTTGGTCAAAGTCCAAACTAAAACTTAGAATTTTCATGACATTACTTATCGTTAATGAGTTTTGATACATCACAGTTATTTTAATAAAGTAACAGAATTTTCCACCTAACCCATTAGCAACACCTATATTATGACGATCAAATAATTTCCTCTATGTCACTCTGCATATCATTATGACTGGGGTCATTGGGTAGGTTTGCTATATCTTCAAAGACGGGAGCATAGCTGCTAAAAGGTAGTTGCATATTTAAAATATTTTCCCACTGCTCAAACATACTGGAGGGAGCACTGTCAACTTCATGCTGACCTGCAGCAGAGTGACAGGTGTGCTTCAAAAATGAGCTGAAAGGCAGGTTGCTTTGTTGTCTGATGCTGCCTGCTGACAGGGATGACTGATCATGTATACATTTCCTGCTGATAGAAAAGTGCCCGCACTCAGACTCCGAGCAGGTGAATGTGCTGTCTGTTTCACTGTCAGATGAGGCACCAGTCATCATAGTGGACTTGGTGGGTCCAGACCTTGGGGATGCTCGATGTGACATTGTTTTATCCTGAGGATCGTTGAGTTTACTAATCTCTTCAAAAGTAAGGCATTGTACAGGTTCCAGGAAGTCTGCTTGCAAGAACCTCCTTTTGTAAGAAGGCTGTGTATGCTGGGTCTGCCCTGCATCAATCCTAGTCAACAACTGTTTGTTTAGGAGAGCCACATCTTGAGGCTTCGTAAGACTTTTTGCCCTCTCCTCACTGGAGCGTTCTTTTTTAAATCCTGCTAATAGCATCCTCAAATCTCCCCACCATTTAGGATCAGCTTTCACACACTTTGTGCTGTACATATGTTTGTGCCAGCTCAGCTTTAGCGAGGCAGTGTCTGAATGTAGCGCACTGGAGATGCTGCCGATTTCATAATATTCCAGCTCACTGTCAGGCACCGGCTGAACGCTTGACAAACCGGCATCACCGTAAAATTCCCCACCTAACCTCTGCTGATCAGCACTCACTGGGTCGTGATGTTTCTCTTTTTCTGCAGATGCAGCATCTGTGAGTGTTCTAGTGTCATCAAAGCAGAACGCTACATTGTCTGTCCCATGTTCTGTTTTCTGTGGCAAGGTATCACTCTGACACTTCACAGTCTGCTGCCTCACTCTGTAAAGGGCGACAAACATTATCATAATCACCAAAATGGTGATTAGAGGAAGAATCACAGCTATTAGCCACAGAGGAGCGCTGCCCTGCTCCTCAGAGCATCGATCATTGCTCCCTGTTGTAGAGATGCAGACATCACAGGTGTGGTCAGAGATGTTATACAAACAGATACAGGATCTGTTCTGCATGGCAGGTCCACACGCACTCCATCGGTTTTGACAGTGTGCTGAGACACAACGCCTCCTGGTGGTGTTCTCCTCAGAACAGGGCGAGGGGAGGCAGACACCATGAGAGCTGCAGTTCGACTGGACCAGAGTTGTGCTTGGGTAGACGTCCACCATCGTGCTGTGTCCACTGAGAGGCAGAGTGTAATTGCTCACGTTGAAATACTGCACACATCCAATGAATCCTGCCATAAAAACAGTTAAGTAAAGTTTATTATAGATGTAAAGAAAAAGGACTGAATATAGCACAAATCTCTATTCCCACACCAAACAAAGAAACCTCCTGTATGGAGTGAAAAAAAGCAATATGTTGCGATGTTCAGGCCCTCGTCAGCTGAGGATCTGCCCTAAAATCATTTTACTTTGGCTTATACGCAGCAAAAATGCCCTTTTCTTTTAGATACAGCATCTTTATCTGTCAGCATGCCTTGTATGATACACCTAGACAAACACGCTGTGTATTCTTGACCTTGATTGACAGTACATGTACTCTGTAGTATGTGGCCAAGATGTGTTCAATGCAACAGAAAAATAATACATTATCATTATGGCTACTTATCTAGGTAAGTGAGTGAATGGAAAATATAAGAGCCGACATTTGTAGGTCTTTTAATATCTAGTTCAAACATTAACACTTCATTTCTCAGCTGACTGCTGTATAAATTTACCTGACTGTTGAAGGTTTGAATCATCTGTGAGAGCTGCACCAAAAATGATCTTTTCCACACTAACAGGAGTGAGATCCATACTGCGGCCAGTGATGTTCAAGACTGATTTACCATCTAGAACCAGAAAGATGTTTTGTCCATTGCTGAACAAGGAGAGGACATGCCAGACCCCGTCAGCTACAGGAGAGTCCACAGTCAACTCTGACAGGTGTCCTGATAGTGTATCTTTGGAAATGTACACAGGCTTTCTGTCTTTTATCTGAATTGGACAGAGAAAAGCAACACATTTTACACTATAAACATAAATCCAAGATGAGTAAGTATCTGGATAAATGCATTCCATACTTACCCTCAGCACTGTGTATCCTGTCTGTCCAACAATAAATACTAACACTCCATGATCCTGGGTCTTGAACTTGATGTTAATCACTGTTTGGTCTCTGGTGTTTCCCTTTTTTTCATCATCCAGCAAGTCCTTCAGCAGGTAGTCTCTCTTGAATCGCTCCTTGATGACATACTCAATGTAGTCATTGCCATTAAATCGCAACACAAGCTCCTCTGACATTTCTATTCAAAATGACAGAGCACAGGAAAAAGGAAGATTAAATTTACAGGGACAGTTAACCCCAAAATCGACAATCCATTTTTTCCTCTTACCTGTACAGCTATTTTTCAGTGTAGATTATATTGGTTTGAGTTGCAGAGTGCTGGAGAAAACAGCTGCAGAAATACTTTCTGTCCAGTCTCATGGAACTAGATGGCACTTGGCTTGCGGTGCTCAAAGACCGCTCGAAAACATCTGGAAAAACTCAACAGCAATGTCTCATTCCAGAAATCATGTCCGGAGACGGAAGCATGCATCTACTTCTAGCTCACATAGCATCAACTAACAATGCTAACATAACATGCAGCTCAGCCCTTGAGGATGTGATTAATGTTTACATGACTGGTTGTCATGAGCACTTGTCATGAGTAGATGGACACTTCCTTTTGCACAGTGATGAGGCAGTTCCTACATGAAAATACTTACAATAGTGTCTGTGGAATCTCTTGGGTAAGCCGTCATGATATCTGAAAATTGCTGTTTTTCAAATGTATTTTTGGCACTTTGAGTACCACAAGCTGAGTACTGTCTAGTTCCACTATACTGAAGAGAGGGCAGACATTTCTGTGGCCAATATCTCCAGCATTTGGCAACTCACACAAAAACAATCTAGACTGATAAACAGCACTACAGGTAGGCCTAAGAGGAAAAAAATATGTTTTTGATTTGGGGTGAACTGTCCCTTTAAGATGATAAAAAATAGTCCTGTGACTTAAAAGATATCTCTACCTTTAGCGCAGTTGCTTCCAGTAAAAGGGCTTTTGCAGTCGCAAAGATAGTCAGACCAACGGTCACGGCACATGCCACCATTCTTACATGGATTGCTGTGACATGGTGATGGTGTTGTCCGAGGACATCTTTATGAAACAAAAATGAGTCACAAAGACAAATTGCTATAATGAGGACATGTACAAAAGTAACAGTCAGATACATTTTCTGTGTTATGTAAATAAGCTAATAATGTAGTTTTTCTAAGATATTTTCCATGCTTCATGTTTGTTTTTGGGTTTTTTTACATTTTGCATTTATAAGATGAGACTGTGGAGAGATGTTAGCAAGTGAGTTGGGATAGAGGGGTTATGATGTACAACGAAGGTCCCCAAACCAGGGATGTTGTGACCACAAGATCAGTGTTCCAAACCCCTACACCACCAAGACACTGATAATATTGTTTAAATCATAGACCCTCAAAGTTTATTATTATACTGGGGAAGTGTATGTTATATGCTTACCTATCTACGACGTTATATGTTGCAAGGGCCATTGCAGGTCGCAGCAGGATGCCATTCACATGAATGTTACGAATGCATCCAATGAAGTCATGTGTTTTAATCTGAGCAGGACGCAGTAAAATAGATTCAAAAGTCTTTGTTCCTCCAAATGTCAAATTACTGCCAACATCTAGTGTTCTGGTTGTAGGAAAAACAGAGAAAGATTATTCATAAACATTAAAACACAGCTAAAACCAGAAATTATAAATTGTGGGACATTGGTAATTATTATTTCACCACTACCTCATTAAGCTACTGCCATCACTTTGAGAAAAACAAAATCCACTGTTTTCAACATCTGTGCAATTGTCCACATGCAGAGAACCCATCTGTGAAATACAAAAAGGGCTACATTAGTCTTTTCAGATTTACTTTTCCATTCTAAAAATGCTATCTTATTAACCCTGTGTATGCGCTGACATCAAAAACTCACATTCCCAATCCTCCTGACAGTGACACTGTGAAAATATCCATCTGCCACTTGCTTTTGTGTCTGCAGCCTCACAGGTCCTGAGCCCAGGTCATAAGAGAGATTTATGGCACCATCTAATATCTCCAGTGCAAAGAATTCCCTGCTGGACGATCCTCCAGGGTTGTACAGGAGCAGGGAGTTCCTCTGCACCGTTGCAAACTCTAGAGAGATTAAATTAGTCCTGCGATCCAATGGGGGGAACTCCATGAAGGACAGCTCCTCAAAGCCATAACTGTGCTCCTCGCAGTGGACTCCACTGACTCCTACAGTCATGATGAAACACAGCATTTGTACATTTATTGAAGCTTGGAAAAGTTAGGGTATAATTCATTAAATATAAAGGAACAATTCTAAATATTGCAAACTACACGTATTCACTTTCTTGCAGAAATGTAGATAAGGGTAATACCACTCTCATATTCTGTCAATTAAATATAAGGCTACAGCTAGCAGCCAGTTAGCTTAGCTTAGTATAAAGACTGTAAACGGGGGATAGCAGTTAGCCTAGCTCTGTGTAAAATGCAAGGGGTAAAACTGTGTAATTTCACAGGGAGGTTATGGGCCAGACTATTTCTTGGGTGGGCACAAAAGAAAGCTAGTTTATATTGACAATTGTCTCTTTTTTTAGGGGGGCAACAAGCACTTCTGATTAAGTACACTGGTGCCTTTTGTCTCATCTTGCCTTGCAAAGAATCCGAGCCAAGAAATAATCCAGCACATTATCGAACACACAAAATATAACAAGTTATTTAGTGAGATGTATGATTTGTTAGAATTTGTTAGCTTTGAATAGATCCAGGCTAGCAGTTAGTCTATTTACAGTATTAGTGCTATGCTAAGCTAACCTAACCCAGTGCTGGCCGTGGCCTTATGTATAACAGACTGACACAAGAGTGGTATTGATCTTCTTATCTAACTTTCTGCATATAAATATATTTCCTAAAATGTTTAATTTTGCTTTAAGAAAACATCTTTATACATTATTCTTACCAAAGGGGCAATGACAAGAGAATCCTGTCTGTGAATTGATGCAGCTGCCCTGAACACAGGGGGTTGATCTACAGTGGTCTATGAACCGCTCACATATTTCTCCTGGAAAAATAACAAGTAAAGCCCAGACTTTGAAAATATTCTGTAATCTATCCATGTAGAGTAATGTCATTTTTTAATACACCAACAAAGTCTACCTTCAAATCCAGGCACACAGTGACAGCGATATCCATCCACAGTGAGAACACAAGTTCCTCCATTTTGGCACTTCATCTTTAGGCATTCATCTCCATCAGTAGAGCAGAAGGAGCCAGAGAAGCCACTCTGACAGTGACAGTAGAAACCTCCTTGGGTATTCACACATGTGCCTTCATTCTCACAGGGATTCACCTCACATTCGTCAATGTCATCTTCACACAGTATCCCTTTGAATCCGGCTGTACAGGTGCAATTAAAAATCTCTTTGTGTGGTGACACAAAGATGACCGCAGAACTTTCCAGAACAGCAACATCCTGGCTGATGTAAATTCCCTTGTTGCATGTTGCCCTGTTTTGACAAGGGCTGGTGAGACATGGATCACTTGTGATGTGAGAAATTGTCACATTGCTCTGAGCTTCCAGTAATTTCTTATGCCCTGCAGAGATACCACTGGCTACTTCTCGGCTGAGATATTGACCGTTGTAATTTTTAACTGCAGCCAACAGAAGGATATCATTGCCAATATGTTTTATTCCAAATACATGAGTCTTAGATGCCTGTAGGTTAAACAGACTGTCCAGAGCTTTCACAAATCGCAAATACTTGTTGGACAAAAACTCTCCCATTGAGGATGATGACACATAGAATAATATGCAGCTGTCTATAGAAGCATTTGTAAAACCTTTGTAGTTTACATAGATGCTGTTGTTGACTGGAAAGTGAAGCTGGTCTGTAGCTTCGATAGTGAGGTTAAATGTAGCCTCGCCTTGAAAAGGAGACGACCACAGCTCACATGTGCCATAAGGTATTGTAAACATATTTAGTTGCCCATTTTTGATGGCACAGTTGAATGAATCAGACTCATCCTGATCCTCAGGATGGACATTACCAATCATGCCTCCTTGAAAAGAACTGCCAAAGTATTTCACCTCGATGAAGATATTTCGAGGCAGAGAAGGGTTATCGTTTTCATCCACAATCTTGATGTGGATCATTGTTGTTGATGACAGCGGAGGGACACCTGCATCCCTAACAGCCACAAGGACTTGACACGCAGAAATGTGTTCCCGATCAATAGTCCGTGTGGTGAATAAAACTCCATCAGGAGTCAGTGAAAAAGCACCATCTGTTGAAGAATTTACCAACCAGTAAGTAAAGGGTCCCTGGTTTGGTGGCAAATCAGAATCAGAAGCATTTAATCTGGCAACTATTGTGCCTTGAGGCTGATTTTCCTTCACTTGAGCCTCAGTGAATGAGAGTTTGGGAGCATCATCATTAACATCTTCAATAGTCACAATGACATTAGTGGTTCCAGTGGCTGGTGGAGAGCCATTATCAGTGGCTATAAGAGTCAGATTATAAACTGGCCACAGTTCTCTGTCAAGAAGAGAGTTGACTGAAATAACACCACTGGATGGATCCACTGCAAAAGACAAGTTTGTGTTTCCATTTTCAATACTGAAGAAGAAATGATTCCAATCCAAGATGGAGTCCTCATCCAGAGCACTCACAGTAATCACAGATATCCCAGCTTGGCTGTCTTCTGGGACACTAGCCAAATAAAGTGCAGAGGTAAAAACGGGTGCATCGTTCATGTCAATCACACTGATGTGGACTACAGCTTCGTCTACATTCATGCCAGTGATCACACCAGAGTTCTTAGCCAGAACTTTTAAAACAACGTTACTGTTACCTTGTTTCCTCAAACTGCCAGTTGTGTATATCTCTCCAGAAAGTTTGCTGATTTCAAAGCCCATATGTTTGTTTTGACCAAACATCAGGTAAAACACCTGACCTTCAGGACCTTGGTCATGATCTGTAGCTGTAACTTTTCCAATCCTAGTTCCAACAGGAACATTTTTAAATACAGAGAAGTTATATTCTTTTTTCCTGAACGTCGGCATAAACTCATTGACATCTGAGATTTGGATGATAACATGTGCCAAACTAAATAAAGTTTGGCTGCCAGTGTTTAGAGCTTTGATTGTTACATCAAAGATCTGCTCTTGCTCATAATCAAACACAGCCAAAGTGGTGATTGTGCCATTTCTTGAATCTACTGCAAATTTATCCACATGGCCAGCAATAAGTGAGTAGGATATTTGTGCATTTGCACCTGAATCAGCATCAGCAGCCTTAACATCTAGGACATGTGTTCCAATTTCTGAGTTTTCAGGCACTGATGTGGTAAACTCTGAAGATGAAAAGACTGGAGGATTGTCATTCACATCCATGATGACCACTGTAACATTTAACATGCTAGTTTTAGACACCCAGCCTCCATCCATGGCTTTGATTTGGAGATAATAAATAGCTTCTTTTTCAAAGTCAAGCTCTCTGACTAGTGTTAGCAGTCCAGATGTTTCTCCTACAGAGAACGATAAATATTGATTTTCTGGGGTAATGCAGTACATGATAGCGCCATTGGGACCATAATCCCTGTCTTCTGCTTGAATTTTCCCAATTACTGAATCTAACGGCAAGTCCTCAGGGACAGAGTAAATTACATCCTGCTCTCTAAAGTGTGGAGAGAATTGATTCCTCCCAGTAATTGCAAAAGTGATTTCAGTCTGTGATGATAAAGAGGGGGAGCCCTGATCTTTTGCAACAACTAACAAAGTGAAAAACAAATTTACACTCTCCACCAAACTTTGATTCAACATTACTTTTCCATTGTCGGCTTGGATCCAGAAAAAATCAGATGCATCACCACCATTCAAAACATATTCAATACTGTCGCTGATGTTGCCAACATCCCGATCTATTGCTGTGAACTGGGCCACCTCAGTACCAACAGCCATGTCATAGGGGATAGCAATCAGACGCTGGAAAGGCAAGAAAATGGGTGGGTAGTGGTTATATGGTTCTAATCTCACTGTGACAGTGGTGTTACTGTACAAAGGAACACTGCCACAATCAAATGCAATGACTGTAAATTGGTAGATTTCAAAAGACAAGTTATGTAACATCAGTGGCTGCTTCGTATAGATTTCACCAGAGGAAGCGTTCACCCAAAACTCCTCATTCGGTGGTTCAATGACATACAAAATCTCACTGTTTTGTCCTATGTCTGCATCTGCAGCAAGAATCTGCACAACAAACACCTCTTTGTATTTTGTCTCAGGGAGGACCACGCTGTAAAAATGATCAGAAAATACTGGCCTGTTATCATTGACATCTGTAATGACTATAGTGACGTCAGTGCTGATGCTCCACGCTGAATCATTTGCATTTACCTTCAAGATATAATGATTCTGCATCTCCCTGTCTAGAAGTCTTTCAACAGTGATGTAGCCAGTGGTGAAGTCAATAATAAATGGCATGTTATCACTTTGGTCAGTGATGGAGTAATTAATTACTGCATTGGTACCAGTATCATCATCAGTTGCAGTAACTTGAATAATTGTATGTCCAATGGGGGAATCCTCCGGTACCTCTGTAAAAAAAATCTCAGAAAAACGAGGTGAGTTGTCATTTCTGTCCAAAACAACAACAATAACAGTTGCTCTGTCTTTATGAAGAGGGTCGTTCAGTTCTGCAGCTTCAACTGTGAAATTGAATTCTGGGGTATTTTCTCTGTCTAAACTCACAGTGGTGCTCAGTAAACCATTTTCAGGGTCAATTGTGAAAAAACCATCAGTGTCTCCTTCTGTTATGTTGTACTGCACAATGCCGTAACTGCCTGAATCAGCGTCAATGGCGAGAACGTCACAAACCCAGGATGGCGGGGAGTTCTCAGAAACCTCACACCTGTACTCAAGTTGGGTGAACTGGGGGAAGTTGTCATTTACATCACTGATGTTTAAGTGAATTTCTGCAAATGATGAGAAAGGAGGCGAGCCAGAGTCCCTGGCTTCTATCAGCAAAGTAAACTCCTTTTTGTTCTCATAATCCAGTGGGTTCTCCACTGTCAACGCTCCAGTCAGCTGCTCCACATGAAACATGTCTTCAAAGTTTCCAGAAGATAGATAAAATGAAACAGGCTCAGCTCTGATGCTTGCTGCAGAGACAACTGCCACTAAGGTTCCCACTGGTTCGTCCTCTGAGAGAGAATCACTCAGAACATCCACGTTCATCTCTGGAAACTCAGATATGTTCTGAAACCTGATGCTGATGGTGGTGATGTCAAATTTAGGATTTTCTCCAGCATCTTCCACGTGTACATTGACAATGATATCGTCCGTTCTTCGTAGAGCACTTGAAGAGAATACAGTGCCGCTGTATGGATGGATGGAAAACAGATCTGAACTTTGTCCATATAATGCATAATGTAGCTCTGCGTTCATCTCAGTGTCTCCATCTGTTGCTCTTACTGCACAAACAACTGAGCCTGTAGAAAAAAAAGACAAACAAATAAATCTTTCCATCCCATCAAATCCATGTTATCCAGGATAAAATATGTAACTGTCATGCTGAGGTAAAAGCTCTCACCTGGAGCCATCTCAGTTGGCACATAGGCCACATAGGGGCTGTTCATGAACTGGGGCCAGTGGTCATTAATATCTCCAATGAGCACAGTAACAAGCACTGAGCTTGACAGAGGCTGAGTGGGATGCTTATCACTGCCAATCACAATCAGCCTGTAAATGGCCACTGTCTCCCTGTCCAGAACATCAGTTGTAAAAAGCTCTCCAGATGTTTCTTCAATGGCAAAAGGCACATCAAGGTTCTCCATGGAATACCTGAGTCAAAAGACACAATATCCAGCCTCTCAGTGTGCTATAATAAAGTGTAAATCAAAATAATGTATATAGAAACAAGGATTGCTTAGCATGTTCAGCAAATACACAAAAAAGACTACTGTTTAAAAAATGTTGATCCTAATGTTGGGCTACCATTCTTAAAGGTCCAGTGTGTAAGCTTTAGGGGCATCTACAGCATATTTCCATACACATGTACTGGCTTTTCTTGTCTCGCATTGACTCAGGTGTCAGCCCAGCATGGCAGTGATTTGCAGTGATCCGTAACAACAGGGTTACCCACTTGAAGGTGTGTCTTTAACTGATAACGCACTTGTCTTGAGTCAATGACATTTAAAGGCAGTGGGCTGATCCACGGCTGAAGTCCCCCATTATTTTGCTGGGAGTGTTGTTCCATCATACAACATGACAGGTAAAAGAAGTTTATCTGTTGGACGTGAGCTGTTTGCAGGGGTGCAATAAGAGCCTGGAGCTGGCTCTGCTTGTACTCTTTCTCCCTGCTGGATTAATGGACTTGCTTTCATTCAAGAATAGTTGCTAACGAAGTTCAGTTAATTCGGTGATAAAGTTATGATTGTAAAGCAGTAAAAAAAAAAGGAAAGTAAAAACAGCGGCAAAGCAGAGAAACTAAACTTCAAACCACAAAGATTACATTAGAAGCTACAAAAGTACTGCGAGTTGAACACACAGGGGAAACATTTTTCTCTCTGGTCTCCTGCACAGACATTACCATCTGCCAACATCTGACAATGGAAGTGAAAACAGGTACAGCATGGTTTGACTCAGCATGGCCAAAAGTGCCAATGGAGAAGCCCTACTATTGGCCAAAATGGTATATAATTTTTAAAACTGTATTGTTGTTACCTCCATGGAGTTTGCTGTGTTGTTCTACAGTACCCCAGAATGGACAAACCAAACACTGGCTTTAAGTAGTTCTCCAACCTCACCACTAGATGCCACTAAATACTACACACTAGACCTTTAACAACCAAAGTAGGCCCCTGCTAAAAACTTGTAACTTTAACTGCACTTTCTCAAGAATGAATTATAGACAGTACTTATAAACAACATTGCTTTCAAATTTTAAGAGTCTCTTTTACACGACATTTTACCTTATTTCCCCACTGACACCCTCATCAATGTCAGATGCAGTTATCATGGCAAACACGGTGCCTGTAGGACTGTCCTCAGACACTATGGTGTTGTAGACTTCCTCAGTAAACTCTGGATGGTTATCGTTGACATCATCCACTATGACATGTATGGTTAGAGTACCTGTTAAAGGTGGCAGTCCTTCAAATGACAAAGTAAATAATGGCATATCAAACAGTTTGAAGGGACACTGACAGTAAAAAGATTACAGAACAACATATTTGAAGGTTTAGCACATTTAGCTTTGGCCTGAATCACCTGCATCAACAGCAATGATGGTAACGAAGTACAGTGATTCCCTTTCTCTGTCCAGACTGTGTAAAATTTGAAACATGCCACTGGGAGTGATGGAGAGCAAACCATCACTATTTCCTTTCTGTATGAAGTAGGTAAGTTGGCTGTTGACACCTAAATCTTCATCCAAAGCTGAGACCTGGTTAAAAAAGACATAAACAATCTGGAAGTTAACGTCAAAACATTCTGTATTCAATATTCAGTGAACACTTGGGTTAACAGGAGACAGAAGCACCTGGTGTGTTAGGTGAGACGGGTCCTCCTCATTCTCCATGACGTGTATGGAGTAAAGAGGAGGAGTAAAGACAGGTGCAAAGTCATTGACATCCAACACTGTGACACTGACAGCAGCAGTCGCAGACCTAGGTATATTCCCCTGATCGACAGCTATTACAGTTAAGGTGTAGTTTGAATCCCTCTCCCTGTCCAGTTTGTCCATGACTGTGACGACACCTCGAACCCCATCCACTACAAATGGACTCGTCTGGGTCAATACGTAACGCACTTGTCCATTTGTCCCAATGTCTCGATCAAGAGCCAGAACCTGCAACAGGCTCGTTCCTCTGGGGATATCCTCTCTGACTGTCAGGCTGTAGGTGCTTTGAGAGAATTCAGGGTCATGGTCATTCGCATCCTCAATATGCACTGTGAAATTCATCGTGGTTGCCATCCTGGGTGAGCCTTTATCAGCGGCTGTCACAGTAACAGTCAGGGTATCTACCTGCTCTCTGTCCAATGGCTCTTCTAGGTATATTTGTCCACTCCTGTTATCGATGCTAAACACGCCACCAGAAGTGTTGTTTAAATAGTATAAAACCTCCGCATTGGACCCAGTGTCTTTATCCTCAGCATGTACAGTCATTATAACAGAATGAAGTGCAGTGTCCTCTGCTATGCCGACTATTTTGGCTGACACAAACAATGGAGCATTGTCATTCACATCATCAACCACCACGATAGCATGGGCTGTGCTGGTGAACTGTGAAGACAGAGGCTGAGCACAGTCACTAGCTGTCACAGTCAGATTGTAAAGGGATTGTCTCTCTCTGTCTAACTCTGAGTTCAGGCATAAACTACCAGCTGTGTTTATGAAAAACACATCCTCTTCATCGCCACCAACCACTCTTAGTTTAGACTTTCCATTGTCACCTGGAAGAAAGGAAAAGATTACACGTGATTATACACGATGTTAGCACACAAATATGAAACTGAAATGTGCAAACTTTCACAAAACATAAGATTTTCAGGCATTTTCACAATCAAATAAACTAATAAATGCAGGGGCATAGGTTTTGTTTGAACACTGGGGGGCTGAAGGTTTGGGAGTCAATGTCTTGATTGTGAATTTTCAGTACAGTAGTGCTCTACTACCTTCATTCTGACTGAGATTACTGCACACAGGTCAATCCACGTAATGAGGACACATATTTCATTGTTATCATTTTTATTGCTATGATTAATTCAAAGATGAGGATGATGATACTAAGATGATGATAAGTACAGAAAGTGAATAACTTTAGAGAAAAAAAAATGTTATCACACATAGCTATGGCATCTCATTAGCTCTGGTTGAACTGTGCAATGCAGTGAGGAATATCCATTTAACCTCCATTAATTGCATAGACCTATAAATCCCCAGCTGGTGCAGCATGTGAAAGAGACGATACAGGGAAGTGGAAATAAATCCTGTATTTGTGGTACATGAGTAGTGAGTGTAAAGTATGAATAGACTTTAAACTATTTATGTAAAAATAATAGCATTAATTCCCCAAAACATATACAAGTACGATTTTTAGTTGAGGAATAAAGTGGTCAGATGTTGCTGGCTGCATTACAAAACCATAAAAAACAACAAAGGACAAACATGAAAACAAACAACAGTTAATATGTAATACAGTACAAATACCCTTTTTTCAATTAAAATGTACATTAAGACATTTTTATCTCTTGAATTTAGTCATTCTTATGATTACATTGTGTGTATATATCTAAACATTAAAAATTGCTTTTTACATTGGCCCTGTAAGAACAAGGCACCACAAATTAATATACAGACACAACACACGCAGCTGAAGAAACATCTTTATCAATTTAACAACACATGTACAGCATTTAGAAAACATCTTGACCAACTTGATGACACACAGAATTATCTCTTTGGTGACACATGCTCAGCTTTTTGAAAAAGCGCTGCAAGAAGCCCACAACACAACAGCAACTGTTTTCAGGGGACACTAAAAAAATGATCCATACGGCTTGTTGTTGTTGTTTTTGGATTATGAAGTTAAAGTTAGCTGTCTGTCAGTGGGGTTAAAAATGACCTATAGTTTAAGTTTTCTGGCTCATTTTAACACTGTGATGGCATGAATCAGATATTATTGCAAACATCTGCTGTTAACCTAGCATTAGCATAATAATATCTGAATCATGTCATTAATGATGAATAGCTGACCTCTTTAACCTCATAAGCCACAAACCATGGCAACAAGCATGTCCCAGCGGTGTGCATCACTTTTTAGTGTCCCCCAGAAACAGCTTGCAGTTGTTGTGCAACACTTTAATTCATGTATGTCATAAAGTTGTCTAAGATGCTTCTGAGATGCTTGAGTTGTGTCTGTTTCCACGTGTTTTCTTAATTTGCAGTGGGTTGACCTCTCAGGGTCACGGTAGCTTTTAGCTGTATACAAATTTAAATAAACTCTATATGGTTTTTGTCAATATTATAAATTTCATTAACAAAACTTAATAAACATGTAGATGCTGATTGAGATTGGTAAGGTGCATCAAACAGAATTTTGAAACCTGTGCCAGATATGAGGCCAGTTTCTCAGTCATGGCCACCAGAGGGAGCGATTCCCAAACATGCATGCATACGCATTGTTGAAAAAGGACAGGTGCTCACTTGAACATTGAAAAACTTTGCAAACATTTACAACTTTTCCCAGCCATCCATAAATGCTTCTTTTTTTATCATGTTTTTTAACTGTGTGTAGCATTTCTGTTAGTCATGTTTTGCATTGCAGTTTTTGACACTGATTGTTGATTACATTGTCTTCTGAGGATGCATATCATTTTGATATACATACATATAGATAGAAATGTTGATGTTTGTCAGTGCTGCTTTGAATCTAATGAACATCTGATTGATTGAAGTGATGGAGAAAAAAAAGTATGGCTTCAAATGCCACAGCAGCCATAAAAATGTGACATCTGCTGAATGCTGAATGAATGCTATATTTCAGCTATACTTTTGCACTTACCATCATCTTTATCTGACACATTCAAGGACAGGAAGCAGGTGCCAGTCTGTGCGTCCTCAGACAATGACGCAGTAAAGGTCTCTTGACTGAAAACAGGGGGGTTGTCGTTCACATCCAACACATTGAAGTACACCCTGACACTGGATACCTGTGAGTCCCCCTGCTGCACCGCCACAGAGAGTATGTAGAATCTTTGTGCTTCGAAATCCAGGCTGCGGGATAATAGGAACTCCCCTGAGAAGGGGCTGAGGAGGAACAGGTTCTCTCCGCCATCCTCCTGCACTGAGTATTTGATAGGCGTGAGACTTTCAAACAAGGTTTCCACCTTTCCCACAACTGTTCCTGTCAACACATGGATAATGCATAATCACTGGGGATCTAGGGATTATAAAATTAAAATATTTGGCGAAATTATTATCAAAACACAGGTCCTGAACTATAGTAATTATTAGGAATAAGTATAAAATCACAAGTTAAACAATATTTAAAAAATTATCATGTAATACTAAAATTAACATTATGGATTTGTGCCTAATTTACATGGGGAAAGGCCTCGCTGCACGGATGACTGACCTGGTACTGTGTCTTCTTTCACTTCAAATGAATAAACAGTTTTAGAGAAAGCCATCTGTGTTCGCCATCTGTTATGGGAGTGTAAGCTGACTGTGCCATGCTTGGGCACAGCATCAATAGATGTATAAAACCAGGAGGGAAGCGTATGCTGCCTGGAGACGTTATCTGGAAACTGCGTCTCACTGCTCACATTCACTGCATTTCCAAAAGAAGGTTCATGAGAGGATGGAGCATTAAACACCTGAGGAACCGTAGAAAAAAGAAAGAAATTACTCTTGGTTTCTTGTTCAAGGGAAATATGCATAAATAGCAAACTTTTGGAGCATTTAAATGATAGATAGGTATTTCAATTTCCCAGAGGGAGATTTGTTTTTACAGCCTGTACACATGCCACACATTTAGATGTGCTATAAACGTATAAAGTTGATAAATGATTAAAATTAAAACAGTGATTAAACTGTGAAATGATCAGTTATCTCTCACTGCTACAACACATGAGTCAACAGGCCAACTTACCAGAAAATTAAACAATAAAACTGTGTATGTTCTCCAATGTCCAGTAGAGTCCATTGTAAAGTTAACTTCCTAAGTGCCTCTCACTTGGTCATTATTGCAAAATTGAGTCAGAAAATAAGATCCTGAGCAAAACAAAACAGACATGGCTTTAAAAAGTGAAGTCCTGGAAACTGCACAGCATTACCTCCACACAAGACCAGCAGATGGAAAACTATAAAAGCTGTATCCATAGTGATTACTCAATCTTCTCAGCTTGTAATCCTGACTGACACGCCTCTTTGACATCACTCTATGCAAATCCCGCAGCGGAGAAAAAGCTCTTTTAGGGCTCCAAACTGCAGCAGACTGAAAGTTTGTTGTTGTCATGTATTTCAAAAGAAAACATGCTCCCATAATCTGGAAATTAATTAGTCCACTTGTCCTCGCTTCCTTCATAAAATGACCCCTGTTAAGTAAAAGGAAATCAGTGATATTTGCTCTTCTCTGTTATGCTGAATCAGTCTGTTTTAAATTCTCTCCATGGATTTTGCTATTGAGGTTCCTCCATGTAGAGATTAAATGGACTCTTTGAACAGTTGCCTCCAGTAAGGTAGCCTGGGGGGAGCCTTTTTCTGCTGCATGTCAGATGGGGAATTCATTCAGAGACAGCAAGGCGTTCATTCAGTGGGTAAAAGGAAAGAAAAGAAAACTGCTGCTGTGAATCACAGGTTTCAAAGGAGAGCTGACATGACACTGTGGCACAGAATGCTAAAGCTGAATTTAGATTAACAGTTAGTGTACTAACACAACTGTTTCTAGAAGCAATGGTGTATAATTAATTAGAGCGTATGACCAGCATTGCCAACATATTCTTTGACATTCAAAATGAAATCACAGCCTCGTATTGGATTATATTTATGGTTTACTGAATTACTGTTACGATGACACATAATGTAACTGTACACAGAGGAACAGTACCACCATTATCAGTGCTTTTCCCCCTGATTAAA